CCCCAGAGCTCTGGGACACACGAGTGCCATCGGCATCGTCACGGACCCACATGAGCTTCAGCCCCTAGGCCTGGCAGCGAGACAGGGTAACATGTAACAACTTTGTTGCCTGAGGAAACTTAAGGGGGACAAAAATTCACACAACTGCTGCTGCAGAGCTTCACAGCTGCAGCCAGCTGAAGCTTTCATGACAGCAGGAAAAGAATTGCAACACACACAGAAGAAAGGAGAGAATATCAAACAATTCTTCATGTGGTATGGCAGGTCTTTACTCTAAGGTGACCTGTTTTGGAAGAATAATATGTAAACTGTGCTATGCATTTGGATAGAAATTCAGATACCAAGTAACAGATAAAGCACATCTATCCTGGTCTTTTAGTAAGCACATAAGAAACTGCCAAAAGTGAAATTCTGCAGTTTTTTGGAAAATAGAAGAAACACTCAAACAGGCTTAAACAGAAGGTAACACTAAGGCTGAAGTGAATTAGTTCTCCCATCTGGGCAAACTGAGTAATTCAACTTCAGGAAGGCTAAATGAGAACAGGCTTCTGCAAGCAAGGTGAGAAGTTCTGGTAACATATCCCTGCTCTCTGACTGTTACATGTCCAGTCTTACTCTCCTCAACCTTCTCATTTTACGCCACTAAGAAAGACATGAATTAAGCTCAACATATCACAATTAAGCCAGTATGTTTTCCATTGTTTTACTGAAACTGAAAAAGTTGTCTGTACCAAAATGTACACAATTTAGTAGTAATACAAAATGTTAATTCTGCAAGACAGAATGTCAGTTAAATTCACCAAAATGAACACTGAACCACCATTTATTGCCAGTACAGTGTTACTTTAAATAATATCACTGAATTAACATAGAAACAAAATAGTTCCACTACTGCAAGATAGCATGTAAATATCATGAATGTTTATCACAGCGTATCTAGCATGTAGTAAGTCTTCATGCTTGCACATTAGTTTTATGAGATTATTACAATAATATTAATGTATCAATCTATGTACTACAAAACAACTCATTATTTGTATCAAATTTGCACATTAGAAGAGCACCTTTGCTAGTCACCCCTTTAGAAAGGCCCCTGTATTCCCGTAAGAAACATAGCTAGACCAATCCACTGGTAATTTAAGAAGCCAAAAAAACAAAAACAAACAAACAAACCCCAAGCATACTAGCAGTTTTCCTTCTATGATTAGCTAAACAGGATGATGCATTTAACAAGCTTCCCAAAGATAAATCAAACCAGGAAAAAAGTGTTTTCTGTATTACATTAAGAACACCTGAGGTTACTTCACTGGTCCAAGTGCAGTAATTTATTACAAAAATTGTTTGTTGCATTAACCTGTCATTTCATTGGATTTCCTTAGTAAGCACTTCTAATTAAAAAAAAAAAAAGTCAATGCAAGAGTCTTTTCGTAAAATAAATCATCTCCCCTCAAAAAAAAGTTTAAAAATGAATTAAACTGTAAAAAAATACAGTATTAAAGAACAGTGTGATCCTCTCTGGCTTTATTATCTCAGTTTTCAGGAGTGGATACACACTTATGGGGAATAAGTGTGAAACACTAAAAAATTCTAAGTATGTTTTTCAGACTGTACTTCAAGAGATTTCTTTTAAAAGAAGTATAAACAGTTGTCCTTGACTCCTGTTGTTTGTATCCACTTCTATCAAAAGAAGTTTAACAAACTGCATTTAATTAAACTGTTTGACATATAAACTAGAACTCCAAAAAAGAATTAAGACTTTTTTTCTACCTGAACAAAATGACCTAACAGTAAGGATTATATTTAATAATTCCGCACTTTGTACATCTTGAATTTTCCTCAACAGCATAACCTAAATTGTGGAGTTAAAATATTGAATGTTGCTTAGCTAAAAAAGCAGCAAATTAAGGACTACAGACTGATGCTTCTACAGCACTAATGACTTATAAAATTGTCTCATAGCCTAAACCTTAAGTTTAAACCATGGACAAAATTAAAATTGGCAGTTTATAGAAAGTAATTAGGCTTGCCATCACCTTAAAACGTACCTTGCTAACCAGAAAATAAAGATGGCAAGGACCAGTGTATTCTAGCCAAATTTAGACAATTAAAATAATAAAAATGCAAAGTACATTAAATTACTTTTCACCTTGGTAGCAACTAAGAGTTTACTAGTCAAAATACTCTTAACCTGCAAAGAGGACAGAAGACTGCCTCTTCAGAAAGCCATGAATAAAAGGGTAAGAATTCTAAAGCCATTCAAGACCATGGGAGATGACCTCTATCATGAAGTCATCTCTAACAGTTGGAGAAGGTCAAAGGCATAAGTAGTTTCACTGATTGCAAGTCCATTGATCTTTCAGTTTATCTTCCTCAGAAGTATTTGAGTTGAAGGTGATTTTCATTTTAAACTTCACAGATTACATGAAATTTTTCCTGTGCACTTTGTCTGTTGCTAAATCAATTCTTCATTTTAAAGCTGGTTTCGTATTCAAGCTGCTTTCTTAGAGCAGATTCCTTGAAGATCTTGCAGATTCATTTTTGACCTAACAAAAACAGTAAGATGACCGTATTACGTAGTAACATATCACTTGAGCTATCACATTTTACAATTGTTAATGTAATTATTATGGAATCTTCTAGTATGAGTGGAAGAAGGGGGGAAACAGCAGAGAAAAACAAAGTTTTGCACTTACCTATTGTGGATCATGTGGCTTTTGACTAGATGCCCAGCTGCAAGAGCTGCCATTAATGAGAGTTCCCCTGCCATCACTGTAGCGCACACAATCCTAGCAAGCTGACAGGCGTTCTCACCAGGATTATCTTGGCTTGCACCTTGAACCCCTAGCATCTAGGGAGAAAAAATTAAACTATTATAAGCCTATTGTACATTTAGGATAAATTTAACTTTTACCAAATTATAACTAATTGACAAGCTTTATATCTCTTCAGTAGCAAGTATATTAAGCTTTACAAATTAGATGCATGAAAATAATTTGGTTATTCTAGAATTTTCATCTCAAGTCCACAGACTTTCTAGAGGGCCCCGTTCTGACAGTATTACTTGTGCACAACCCCTATGCCATGCAAAGGAGCTTTGTGAGTCTATACCTGCAAGCAGGCCTGCTGTGGGAGCAGGTTGGTGCCTCCCCCAACAGTGCCGATCTCTATGGAGGGCATGGTGCAGCTGATGTACAGGTCTTCATTGCTGGAGCCAGTGCGCTCCATCAAAGTGATGCAGTTAGAGCTGCCCACGTTCTGTGCAGCATCCTTTCGATTGAGAAGGAAAAACAAAAACAAAGCATTCAACTAAATGTCCAATTGAGAATTAACTGCTCTAAAAGGTTGACTTGGTATGAAGCAACTTACCTGACCACAGGCAATGTAGATGGCTGTAACTATGTTTGCTGCATGTGCGTTGTAGCCACCTATGCTACCAGCCATTGCGGAACCCACCAGGTTTTTGTTTATATTGACTTCAACTATATCTTCTGTAGTAGTCTTCAATACCTAGGCAGAGCAGTACACTTGTAAATACACATTTCCTTAGGCAGGAGTTATAATACCCTATTTCATGTTAATCAGGCCCCCATAGTTTACTTCTATAGATTTTGACTCAGTGCCTGTATCTACTTTTATTTTTGGTCGAAAGAAACTGTTTCAGATGCAGAGCACCTATGAAGTAACAACAGAAGACTCAGTGCTAGGGGTTTGGACTTGTACAGACCTCTAAGGAGAAAGAAAAAAAAAAATCAACTTCCTTCTATCACCTTTTAAAACACTCATTTATCTTCAGTCTAAAATGTATAAGCAGTTTGGTAAAAACAAAGATGACAAACTTGCACAAGGTTCTACAATACTGATGAAGATAGAAAGTATTAGAAAGAGTCAAATATAGAGAGATGTAGTGATATACATGGTTGAGGGTAGAGGGAAGCCTAAAGTTACTAAAGCTATGATGGCCTCCTCACTATTAATCTGGAATGAAAATTTGGGGTTTTAACAGATACCACTCTTAGTGCTTTTTTGAAGTACTAGTCATAAAGGTCAATAGTTAAAAATTAATAGAAAGCAAATTCAGAAAACAATCATGTGTATAAATCTAGGCTGCAGACACCCTTTGAATACTGTGTCCAACTGTCTCCAGATTTTGGAAATAATATGCTAGAACTGAGAGAGATCCACAGGTGACAAACATATGCAGTATATGCTAGAATAATCTGGTTGTTGATTCCTCATACAGGCACAAGCCCATTTAGAAGGGGCTTTGTTAGAGAGCTATAAAGACTAGAGATATACAGAGAACATAAAAAGTTGAACCACACATGGGTGGCAGAGCATTACAGGTATTGTGTATTAATCTCCTCCCTGGATGCTGTCTCTCTTGGCCAATGCTGGAGATGAGGTTAACAGGCAAAAAACACCATGAGCCAACCTGGCTGACACACACAGCCTATCTTGCCAGCTCATGGGAAAGAATCTAAGATAGCACTTACTTACACTGCAGGACGAGTTTGCCAGGGACTAGCACTGGCAGGCTGTAAATGCTGCATTTCATCATTTTGGAAACTAAGGCAGCTTGGAATTAAGTGAAGCAGCTGACTATCTGCTTTTGTTGTAGTAGGGAGGCATGTGAACTTTAAAGAGAATACCAGGATTGTGCAAAAGACAATAAAAGATGTTCTCAATTGAAATGGCTTATCCTACAGCAAGTCTGAAAACAATACAACATGTAGAAGTCACCCCTATATGGAACATAACTCATATTTAGCAAGCATGCTATCAGTTTCATAAAATATATGCAATTGAAATAGAAAAAAGCAAGCACTCACTTCTCTGACCACCTTGGCTGGAATGACTGCCTCACACACAACAGACTTGCCTCTTCCCTCTATCCAGTTTATGGCAGCGGGCTTTTTGTCTGTACAGTAGTTCCCACTAATAGCTATAAGCTGAAGATCAGGAAACTTTTCATTCAAACTCGCCAGTGCTTTTTCAGTACCCTGTTAGCAGATACACAGATATCCTTAAAAAACTAGTATCTCATTATGGTTGTAAAACACAGAACAGCAAGATTAGATTAAAACTTCAGACCATCAGTTATAGCCAAGAGAAAGGACAGGGTTTGGGGAAGGAATCTGAAGCAGGTGCAAATGGTAGCATCATTGCTATTGTTTTTCTAATCACATGCAAATATGGGGAATAATAAATTTAATAAATATATCCTTGATCCTTCCTACGATGTACCGCCTCTCTGGACACATTCTACATGTATCCAGAATGGGCACGTGCACATGTTACTGAAGGTACAACATGAGCCAAGTTAAACACAATGGGCATGAAAATAATTCACTTTTGATTGAAATGGGAAGGAGCTTCTGTGTATTAGAAAGTTAGACATATTTCAGTTATAGCGCCTTTGACCCATTTATGTATTTTTCTCTGGGTAAACTGTGCATGACAGGCAGTCAGGGTCAACCAGTACAAGGTTTTTTCCCATCCCAAGCTATGAGTCATGCTTCAGTTTCTTCCCCATGGCTGCACTTGCTGCCACTCATGAGATTCCTAATCCTTTCTTCACAAGGACTGATAAGCACAGCAACAGATTACTGCTGGATAGAGCCTCGGTTCTAAAGGAAGCAAGCAAGTAGTCCTACATTACCAGGAATACTCTTTTAAAAAACAAACACACAAGAAGAACTCCCCCACAAAAATGACTTTAACCCTTTGTCTTTCACTGTTTATAACCTGTTTTTTGTTTATGTAAAGCTAAGTCAAACAGTTTTATAATCATATAGCATTGCAAACTGATGTGTCCTGCCCACAAGTCCACTCTTGCTCTGTCTTCACATGCCAGGAAGTCACAGATGGGCAGGGCACAAATGTTTGTTTCTTTAAAAAAATTAGGAGACTTAAAGAGACTGGGCCTTACTTTTGAGATCATATTCATTCCCATTGCATCCCCTGTTTTAGACTGAAAGCGGATATAAAGATTACGACCAGCCAAACTGATGAGAAGTTTTTGTAGGCGAGCAAATCTGCAAGAAAAGTGAATGATTACTAACAGTTGTCAAGGAAAAAAAGCTTAAACTAACTCTATGGGTATAACAGCAGCAAATTATTGCATATCGATCCCTAAACTGCCCTGTGTTATCTGCACTCTTTCTTGCTCAGTGTGGAAAAAGAAATCTTCAGTTATGCACACAGTTATCTCAAGAGAACTTTTGAAATGGAGTTTTGAAATGTAATGTTTCACTGCTCTTGAAAGTGAACAGCCCTGGACTTGATAATATGTAGAGTCCTGAAGTGCTAACACAAGTTTTACCCTGTTGTACTCCCCAAAATAGCTGACTACCAACCATCAACTAAAAATGAGGCCTTTGAAAAATTCTTGATCTTTTACAACAGGGCAAAGAAATAAAACATTTTATCTTCCAAAAGTCAGAGCTTTATTCATGCAGATTAAAAGCAAGGAAGAACTAGAAAATACTTTTTTTTTAAAGAGCAGCACAAATGACTCTTGCTGAGATGCATGTAGGGCCTTGGATGACACTCATAGATTAGTAAGAAGCATAACTGATATGGATAACCTTCCTAAAAGCAGATAATTACAAGTCTTGGAAGAGTCTTCTGATTAAAATAAACTTATCCTTAACACTATCTTACAATTCTTACCATTTCAGCTCTATGGTTTCTGATGCCTAACATATTGTTAATAATACCATCTGAAAGCCAGATTCCAAACTTTAAACTACTTTTAGCATAGAAACTACTAAAAGTCCAAGTAAGTTGTACATTTATTTTAAATGCTTAGACAAAATAAAAACATATCAAATATTACTCAATTTATTTCACTTGTTACTATGATCCAGTCTTTTACTGCTTATAATCAGAAAATACTTATTATCATCGATAATGAGATATTGCAGAAAATCGCAGCAACAAATAATAAAAAACCCTGCTGTTTTCTTAGGTTCATGCTAAATGAGACAGCCATATGTATTTTCTTACACTACAATACACAGAATTACAAATGGGAGAATTTTAGGGTTCATAGAAGTCTTGCATCAGAAAATAAGGCCCAGGTAACCATTTTACTAACCTACTTGTGCTGTCAAAAGCTTCTTTTATTATTTTAAAACCTTCAGAGCTTTCAAGCCAAGCCTTCACTTCTGCGGCCTGGCAAGCGGTGGGCAGCCTTACAACAGGCCCTCGGGTCATCCCATCTGCTAGAATACAAATACTTGCTCCTCCACCAAGCTAAAAGTCAACACAAAAGAAGCAAGATCACCAAATCTGAATTTTAGTAAACAAAAACATGCTCTAAATGCTCCCAGATCCCCCCAAAAGACATGTTAAATATTTGTTTTAGAGAAAGTTTTTAAGCAGGTCAAGCAATTAAACAGTTGACCTTCTTTCTAGGAGTTACTTACACATATGGCTCTACATCCTCTATTTGTGCTCGCCACAAGACATCCTTCTGTTGTTGCCATTGGAACTTGAAACTCTTTGTTATCCAAGAACAATGGCCCTGCTACACCTACAGGAATAGGCATATAGCCAATCACGTTTTCACAACAAGCTCCCATAACCTTACAAGAATAACAGAAAAATCATCATTAAGATTGTACATACAGTACACTATACACACTATAGCACACTATACATTACATCTGTCATTACAAAGAGCTATCTTAGCAAAAACTCCCAAACCCAAAATTTGTGTTTGCAATTTTCACAGCAGGTTTGACCAAGCTCACTGTTAACTCAGACATTACTACAAGCAGATATTCCATGTATTTGGAAAATGCTTTTACATTGAACTTTGCTTGTCTGCCTTCTACTTACCAAAGAGTAATTGTAATTCCTATAAGGAAGATACTGCAAAGACGAAGGTTCAGGGAGTTTCTTAGATAGCATCTGTCTGCGGATGGACACCCCACGCTCCTGAGTTTCCATCAAAGTTTCCAGTTTGTATGTAGGAATGTGCTTAGCATTAACTAAGCTGATAACCTCAGCATCTGTAAGGAATTTTGCTCCCTTCTGGAAATGTAAAGAGGCAGAGATTCTATTGATGAAAGCAGTTTGAAATGTTTCCAGTAGCAACATTTACTTTCACCATTATCAGATAGTATCTATAGGAGCTAACTGTCAGTGAGATTTCATAGCAGGCAAGAACAGGGCCAAAAACCTTTCATTCAAACATCCACTCATATGCATGATCTACGGTGAAGCTTGAATTACTTGTCATGTCATGAATAACTGTAGCAGCTGTCTTTGTGCCCCTCATTTTGGGAGTAAAGGGGGAAGTCTCATAATAAAAGATCATTTATTTACAATTTGAGAAAAATTAACAAATATACATTTTTAATCTGTATTTTTAAAAGGGGAAAAAAAGCAACTGAGAAGCAGAAATGACTTCTAAAAGAACAGGCTTAAAAGAGTGATCTAGCATTCTATGCCATAATATTTACACATTCACTCAGTTATAAAAGCTCTATAGATCTCTGAAGTAAGACATCACAATCAATAGGATCACTTAAATGCTAGAAAATTAATTAAAAATATTAAATCAGAAGTTACATTGAAGATTTTTTTACTCAAAAAAAAATTTTTTTCTTCTATACCTCTGCATTTCCAAGTATACGAACACATTCCTCAATAGAACGTGGTTCTTTAGGTAACTCAATTTCTTCTTCCTTTCTATTAAGGACTGCAGAAGTTTCCACAGGGTTGCAACTGTCAACTACAAATGTAGCCCTGGTTGAAGACTCTGCTAACACAGGTTTTATGACTTCAGCTGCATAAAAACAATTAAAATGAACTTCAGTTTACAAAAAAACTTAAGATTTGGTTCTAAATGAAACATGCTGCACAGAAATCCTAGAATTTTATATAAATATCTGTGAATAAGTTCAGATTTTTAAATTCTCAAAATTACCATTTCCATCTTTGGCAATTAAAGTTTCTTCTACTGTATTAGATTTCTGATTGTTTTTTGGAAGTCCAGAATGTTTCCTGCAACAATTCTCAGGGACCTTTTTCTGAACCATCACTGGAGATGTTATGGGATTCTTCAGAGATAGTGTGGATTCAGTCTCTGTTTGCTCAAAGAAAATGTATTTCACAGCAAGAAGAAGGGCTAATCCAAGAGTGATTACTTGTTCAATATCCATACTGGCCATTCTATAAATAAATAAATAAATATTTTTAAAGGCAATTCCAGTGACAGAAATTACTGAAAATATTCACTATTGAACAGCTAGGTCAAATTCATTTAACACCCATCTCCAAATTATGAAGCAGGAAAATGCAGTTATCGCCCTTTGACAATCAGGACTACTATGGTATAAGTTAAGATGCTAGGAAGGGGGGAAAAAAACTAAGAGAAACACTGCTGAGTTTCCTGAAATATTGCAGAATCACAATGTGCACTTCAGCAGAGCTGTGAGCCAATAGCATACTTGAATTACATACTGCTTCTTATCTTTAGAGGAAAAAAAAAATCACGGAAAAGGAATAATGACACAGATTATCTTTTGTTGTGTGAGAAGGGTCAGAAATTCTGCACAAATAATTAACTCCCATGCTGTCACAAAACTCATTTTCTAGTCTGGTTGGAAATGTGACAGTGCTACCAGGAAAAGACGATGCATCCAGAACAACTGGTTCCTGACCATAATCACACTGTTTTAAGAAGATTGCAAGACTGGCACACTACTGAAACACCTCTTATAAGACGTCATCTCAGGTTATAAGGAATCCTGAAGCAGCCAGAGCTGCTGGTTTACAACAGCACAGTACCCTAAGGCTGTCACTGGCAGCACCGGACAGTACATCCTAATGAATTAACTACACTTCTCTGCTGTGAAGGAACCTACCGAGAAAAATAGAACTGCCACAGGGAAACATTCGGCTCAATTCTCTTGGGGGCGTTCTCATCCAGTCCCACTACGTTTTCTACAGTGCTGTTTTGAGCTGCTGGTTCTGCTATCCAGCGGCTGTGGGCGTGAACAAGAACCAAACCTAGCGACTGTGGTAAAGAACAAAACAAAACAGCAATCATTAAGTTTTCAGCTGTAACCAGACATCTTAACCTATTAAGATTAATCATTTATTTTGTACTTTAACTTCCCATGACTCAGAAGGCTAAGGCTAAAGGCTGACATTCCATGCCACTTATCAACATCATTTTCCAGTTGTAGATTCATTTATATGCTTTTGCCCATTTCATATAGAAACAAGTGCTTTACGATCACATGGCTTGAAATTTGGTTAATCAAAAATTATTTGGGCAGGAGAAAGACTACCAGACAAAAATAAAACAGAAAGATCTCCAAGAAAGATAGCGAGCATTTGCCAGTTTCATGAAAACTAGCAACGCGCAGAAAACCCACCCTATCATGTCCCGAGTGCAGGGAAAGCTGCAATATTAGCTCATCACATTTTCCTTAACTTCTTTTCTGGCTTATCTTAAGACTAGCAGCTTTGAACCAGCCCCAGCACATCCTTCCTCTTGCTCAAGTAGCAAGAGGAGAAAGCTGAGGGTACCTGTACAAGAAATAGGGAGGGAATTAGAACACGCGAAGAAGCGGCCAGCGTTGTGAGCATAAATGGCATATGCAGGAAGACTTTCGATGCAGGTTTAGAGGACGTTAGAATTGCCACAATGAACAAGAGCACCGGGGTGCAGGATATAACTCTATAGGAAACAAAAGTTGTATTCGCTGCACAATAACAGCTTATTCATTACATAAATACAAGTAAATGAAAAAAGCCACAAACCATAATCATTTTGACCCTCTGTGTTACAGGGTTTGGTTTATTTTCTTCTTCTTCCAGAACACGAGCAAAATGACTGAGCTGCCATATAGGACGCCCTTCACGACTCTCTCGAGAAAGCTGCAAAAACAACATTTTAAAAATAGGCCCTATTCAGCACATGCTTGAAGAAACAAACATGTCTGAAGAATAAAAAAACTTCAACTTGGCATTTTTGTTTTATTATTAAGAGTGAGCCTAAGGTAGCCTTTTAGTGAAAGGCCCTGGACAGCTGTTAGTTTGACGTATGATTCGTTTACCTGGAGTTCAACCAGAACTCACACTATTGATTTAAGTCTCTGGCAGTGTGGTAACAAGTTACTGTCCATCAGTTGAGCCACTATAACTTTTCTTATGCCTCTTGTCCACTTAAACAGGAGGACCAACGTGCTAGCACACACCTTAATGAAGAAATGTGCATGGCCTGAGCACTGCATTAGCTCTCTCATCTGCAGATTAATGAGCATGTTTAGTACTAATCATTTTGTAGTAACTTAGTTTAATGCATACAGCTAATAATACCAACTGCCTACAAAAGGAAGGTAAATAAATAGCTAAATAGATAAAGTCATTCCACTCTCCCACTCCCACAGATAACAGCTATCATTTGAAACCGTGAATATCCCAATGTCTTTTAAATGGTCTTTTTTACATGAAAAGGTTTAAATTCTTAAGACTTTATTACTGACCTGACATAGTACCAACACCGATAACGAGACACTCTACAAGGGCATCCAGTGTAAAAGTAGGGCCTAAAATTGCCATTCCACGTGAAATATTTTCTCTTACTTCATCCTAAAAAAATGAAATTTCTGTACATTAGCATAAAGACAAAAACAAAAAGTTGCACAAAAATTTTTCTTCATAAGGAGTGCAGATACTGTGATTAATAAACTCAGTATTATTATGGTGGTAAGGCTTTATAAAACACATTGAGAAATTAATTACTGTGAAAGAATATATGTGTTAATCATTACAGCTCATACAAACTATTATATTTCCAACAGTCTTTATTTATATCACAAGATTATTTAATTGTGAATGTCTCCTTTTTTGGCTAATGGGTATTCTTAAGCTCCTACAAAATCAATGCATACACACTTCATTTAACCTTTAAGCTCTAAATTTTAAGCTCTATGTGTGTGTGTGTACGCACATGCACATGCACACGCATGCAAACACCTATTTTTGAAGTACTTCTCCAAAAAGTATTTTAAAAGATTTGTATAGTCTATTATACTATAATATACAGTTATATAATATTTGATTATAATATGTTACATATATGAAATATAGTCACAATTATTATGATAAGTTACCTTGTACAGTATTTATATGCATAATCTAGTTTAAAATAATTTATTTTAGAATTTCCAATATTAGGAAACCATTCCTATGTATGATAGGCTATCTTTACTGTAAATCTTTCATATTGAGCTATGTGAATTACATTAGAGCATGAATGTCTAAAAAACAAAACCAAAAAAAAAAAAACACACACACAAAAAAACTGACCTGTGAGTTGGAACTAAGTGCAAATTTGGCTAATGCACTCGCTCTTGAAAGATCGATCAGAAGCAGGAAGAATGGTAAAGCTTCACTGAAATAAAAGGAATATTTTAAGAACAAATTCAAGCTTTATTGCATGGGAAAATATTTGAAACAAAAAATCCAGAATAAGTATTACTATTACTTACTTTAAACCTGTCAGTTCTTTATCCAAGAAGTGAATTACCACTGTACTAAAAACAAAACTTGAGAAGATTGTGAAAAGGCCAGCAATACCTTAAAAATAAATCATAGAAAAATTATAAATCATACCTTTAGATCATTTCTGATCATAAATCATAACTCTAATATTTCAGATGATATACACACAAGTTGAAATACAACCCAATAATAATGCTATTCTTACATGTATATTTAAAATATATGCTGCATTCAAATTAATATTTTAAAAAATAAAAGCCATAAATCTCTCATTTCATATCCGCAAGAATGAAAATTAGCATGAAGAGTTTTACACAATAAAGTTATATCAAGAACTACATTTCCAATGTTTATATAATTCTATACCACCTCTCAAAACATTGTTTTCATTTATGCAGGAGCCAAATATTTATCATGTTATCTAGCAAAGAAATAAAGTAAGCCAATTCTGTATATTAGCATTAGCATTCTCATATTCGTTACCATTTTTTTAATTAAAAAATACAATTGAAATGTAAAAAGCAAATAGAAAATCGGATACATTACCCAAGATGTATTTTGACCCAAGCTGCCGAAGGTTCTGAAACTGGAAGTATATGTAAAGGATTGCAATGCAGCGGGTGATTGTCAGGATGATGACGTCGCTGCTCAGAACATCCTGCTCAACACACAAAGTGATCTTGTTAGCCCTCCCACGAGGGAATCACTTGTTATGCTTTATTAGAAACATTTAAATTGTGAGGCTGCGTTTAAAAAAAAAATGGAATAAAATAAGTATTATTGTTTGCAGTATTTTGTTGAGAGGCTAACAGTATTAATACCAAAATTCTTCCTGTTCTCTAGATATCCTGCAACCAAATATTCTATTTAATGAAAAGCTCCTGTGGCTCACTACCATTTGCATAGACCTTCAATATCCAGCATGGGAGAAGTAGGCAACAAAGAAAGGAATTTCTGCATAACTGCATTGTTTTTAATACATCATAGCCTGTTCATATTGTACCTCCTCTCCCCCCTGGAAAAAACTCTACTTAAGAGACATTTAAGGATCCACTGATTAAAACAAGTATTATAACATGAATGTAAATTCTTACTTCTTCAAGTTTTGGGCATTCATAATTCCAGCCACAGATCTTATCATTTCCAGTGAACATCTTCATGGACATCATACAGATGGTGAGAGTCACTGTTCCCACAATAACTTCCCATGGGTGAGAAGCTACAAACAGGCCATGCATTCGAAACAGTCTGGACAACATTTTCAAGATTGTTTTCTTTTTCCAAACCTAGAAAATCTGCAACACAAGAAGATTTCATATAAGCAAGCAGGAGAATTTGGGGAATAAAGGATAAAGCTTTGTAATTTCCTGCAAGTCACCTCAAAATCTGTTTTGCTGCAAAAAAAATAACAGATGAATAAGGAATCATCACATCTTCATCCATCTACTTTCCATTTATAAGTACACTAATATTTTCTAATCTTCTGAAATAGAGTATGATCTGCTCTGCTGCCTTCTCAACCATAAGTTTTCACATCTCCCATAATCCCTCCATCTCCCTGGTTTAAGTAGGATTTCTTATTATCACCTCAAACACGCAAACAGATGTTGGTTCTCCCCTTCACTACTCTGAGTGCTGGCAGATCTTAGCATCCACTATGGCCACACGATTTTGATACCATTTCAAACCCAACTTATTGTTTTGCATCACATCTCAATGAAAGGGCTCACGCAACCCTATTTCTTTATTTAGTCTTCTGATTAAAATCTTGATTAACTATGTAAGTTACCAATGTCATGCACATCACCAACAGCAAAACTTCAGTGTTACCCTTCTCTGACTGTGTCTCCCTTATTTCCTAAATATTCTCTAGTAATTGAAGTTAATCACATTTGAGACAGTTCTGCTTCCTTCATCTCAAAAATATGAATCCTTCTCACATACAGCATTCTGCCTACAGTTCTTTCGCACCAATAATCAATTCTCACATTACCAATGCATTTCATCATCCCTGTGTGCTTATAATAGATAACTAACACCCAACAGAAACTCTCACACCTTCACAAAACTGGCGGCATGGATGCTCTGTACGTCCTTCAGTTACATAAACGACACCCTAGTCTGTTTGCTCTGCGTTGTAGCTTCAGACTCATCAAGGATGTTTAATCATGTCCTATAGCATAGAAATAACGTGCCATAAAATTCTCTTACATATATTAGTACTGAGATTTGGCTTTCTCATTGCCTATAATCAAAAACATATAAAGCTCTACAATGAATTGTAAATATGCAACTATATCTTAAAGTTAAAAAGATCCTTAAATAAGAACCTCACTTAATAGAGACTATCTGTTCATTATTTACACAGGCAAACCTGGTACTAGATTCCCATAAGGGATTACAACCTCTACACGTTATCACATCAAGGAAAATAAAATCTCTTTGTGTTATCCTGTTAAGTAACAACCTATCCCCTAGGCTTTAGGAAGACTCTATTTCTAATATTATTCCTTTTATTGCTATTACTCTTATTATTCCAAGCTCAGTGGTACAGGCAGAAGCACGACGGATGTGTGGCAGTCCTTTTGTGAGTGATGGAAACATTGGGACCATTTGGGGAAACACCATGGACTGCATTTTGCAGGAACAAAGTCTTTTATTTCCTGGCAGGAATCTTTATTTCTTCTGTTTCTTCCCCTTCCTCCCCACACCTCCTTTTCTAAGTCCTTTAAAGTCAGTATTATCTTTTGCTTTTCTCTGTACAATATAATGCCTACACTGCTTGGCAGATTTATGCTCTTGCAAAACTTCTGTTCCACATCAGTACTATGGACTTTCCTCTGCAGCACAGATGGTACATTTTAATTAAAATTCTAAAGTAAAATAAAACATAGCAGAGGAATGTTTTAGTGCTTCTGATTTAGTACTTTAGTGATTCTGAAACAAAACAAAAAGAAAGGGCCTAGTAACAGCCTAGAGATAAAAATCACTAACGTTTTGAAAAATTAACTTTCTCCGAACGAATCAGAATTAGCACGTACCACATGAGCATACGAAGTCCTACTAGCTCCAAAATTAATAATGCAATGCCTAGTGATTTCAATTATCAGAATTTCATCCTGGCCAATAAAAAAAATGGTATTAAATTTAAAAAGATTCCAAACCTTTCCTCAGGTATTTACTTCTGACATCTATAAGCAACACGGATGGAATTTCTGTGTTAACTAGTGTAAAATGCTTTCCCAAAAATTCATGATGCAAAAATGCATTATGAAAACAACTAATCATTACATTTATTATTGTCCAATATTCTTATAATTAACTGCTGCTATCAGTATATAAAAATAGAAGGTGTCTCACTGTTGACCATAGGCTCCATGGACTGGCAGCAACTCCTAACCTAAAAGCATTTTTAAAGTCCCTGTCCATTTTTGACAAGTGTTATTTTAGTTTATTATATAGTTGACATTCTAGAAAACCTTAAAGGAACACTCCACACACAGATCTTGCATAAATGCTGTACTTGTCAAAATCTCAAGAACCAAAAAACTTACGATCAGTTCACATTTGTGATCCTATTAACAATATTTCCTTGGTAAGACTGGCTTATAGCTCAAAATTATCAAGATTTATCTTTAAAAAATGACGCTAAATTGCATCTTTAACATTATTCTGTTAAATGTCACAATGGTGGCTCCAAAGAAATCAGTCCTATCTGCTTCCTATCTACCTTTCTTGCACAATCAAACATTGCCAGGAAAACGTTAAGTAAGGCAATTAAGTCTAGAAAGCAAAAAAAATACAAAAATTTTGGACCAGAGCATGAAAAGCCAACCAGACATGTTGGATATAATGGTTTAGAGCACTGATCAGGCACTTGGCTACACGGCTATTCGGCGTGGGCAGCCCAGATCTGCCACGGGCCTCGCCGGAGCACCATCCTCTGCGATGCCATTTGTACAGGCAGCACAAATGTCCCATCCTGTGTTGCCTGACTCAGCAGCAGCTACAGCGTGATGAAGGCACTCCGTGGCAAAAGCAAACGAGCGAAATCCTGGCCAGACCAATCCCGAGAAAAGAAAAAACACATATATATGGTTTTATACATATATATATGCATATATATGCGTGTGTGCACGACAGGACGGAGGCACCTCCTGGAGCTGCCAGGCATCGCGGCTCGTGCGCACGCAGGAGACCCTC